CCCCCAGCATACCGAGCAAGAGCCGACACCGTTGGGCGCCTCGTGAAAAGAGAACACAAGCCGCAGACCGAGAGGCCTGGAACCGAGGCACGTCGGTAAGGGTGCTCACTGGCGGGGGCAGGCCGGGACCCGGCCGCGGAGGCAGCCCTCGAACAAACCCGAGCAACCCAAGAGCGCCCGCGGCTGCCTGGTGTCGGCGCTCCGCGCTCGCCGGCCGCGGGTGGGCACCTGCCCGCCCCCCCCCCACACACTCCCCGCTCCCGCGCCGCTGAGGCCCTTCGGGTCGGAGACCATCTGCCACCCCCAGGCCGAGGGGCGCCTCTGCAGGAACAGCTGCCCCAAACCCTGCGGGAAAACGTGCAGGACGGAGGCCGGGCACGGGCGCCAGTCGAGAGTCCGGCCCTCAGGCCACAGGCTCCGGGCCCCAGGCCCCGGGCCCCGGGCCTGACGGAAGATCCCCACCCAGCTCCGTCAGCGTCCGAGCAAGGGATGCACAGGTGCACGACGCCCACCCCGAGAGGGCCGGGCCGTGTACAACATCCACCCAGCTCCAGCTTCCCTATCTCTCTCTCTCTCTCTCTCTCTCTTTGTCTCTCGTTCCCCCCCCCCCCCGGTACGCCCCTGTAGCACGCCCCACCGGGTGCCCAGAGTGGCCCGCCCCATGGCCCCCCCGGACAATTCCGCTAGACTCGAGTCACGACCCGCGCCCGCCTGGCCCTCAGCCGCTCCACAAGACGGCGTCTATGTCCGATGCCCCCGTTCGACCCTGAGAACAACCCCGACAGTTGGTAGACGGGCCGGCAGAGGGTGTCTGTGAATGGTATTTCAACATCACCAGACCCCTGGAAGTCAGCATCCCATGATCGATCACGCTCCGGCGCTCTTGCATCCCGAAAATGCACACCCAAAGGCGGACCGCAAGCCGAGCCTTCGCCCACGGAGAGGAGGCGGGAACAGGGGCGCCGGCTGCCCCCCCTCCCCCCCCCCCCCCCCCCCCCCCAGGGAGAGAAAACCAGGTCGCCGGAGCGCGGGTGCGCCAGCCCACTAGTTCCCCTTCCTGTCCCCCCATTCTCCTGCCTGACGAAGGCGCGAGGCGGCCCTGGAGCCAGGAGGAGCCCCTCATCCGGGCCCGGCCCGGCCCGGGGCAGAAGCGACCAAGGGGACCTAGCCCTCTTCGGAAGAGGGGCCCCGCTGATCGACGGTGTCCCCCCCCCCCCCCCCTCCCCCGGCTTGCTCCCGGGCCCAGTGGCAGGGGGGCCCCGAAGGATGCGAAGC